ACAAGGCACGGGACTGGGGTCTCCAGCACTGGGGACAAGGCACGGGACTGGGGTCTCCAGGATTGGGGACAAGGCACGGGACTGGGGTCTCCAGCTGCGGGGGAGGGAGCTCCTCTTCTCCCCGCGTTTCAGGGATGAGCTCTGCCCAAGGGGCTGAGTTCCCAGGGCAGCGTGAGCTGGGAGAGGCAGTGATGGGAATTACCGTGCAGAGAATGCTCATCCCAATTTTTGAGGCCTGATGGAGGGGGAAAGACCTCAGGGAGGCTTTTGTCTTGGACAACATCCTCTCCTTCTTCTCTTCACCCACTCTTTGCCTTTCCAAGGACTTCCCAATGAAGCCGGGTGCTGCAGGATCATTTAAGGTCTGAGGAGCCTGGGAGTCCCATGGGAGCCTCTGGAATATTAACTCTGAGGGCAAAGAGCATCGCGGGTTTAACAGGACTCCTTCCTCCCGGGAAAGGCAGCATTGGATTCCACAGGGCTGGGTGACACAGCTGGGCTCCCCCCGAAAGGGTTAATCAGGGAGAGCAGAGGAACACCGGGAACGGGGGAGAGACAGAAAGACAGACACTACAGATTCAACACAGCTGATCCCTCTGAGCACTCCATTCACACCTCTGTACGAGTTTCTCCAGTGGTTTTTGGGGGCAGTCCCGTGGGTGTTTTCCTGTGCTTTGTCTCACCCTCCAGCCTTCAACCCCACTCTGGAAGCGTCTCTCCATCCCTACCCGCTCCTTCCCAGAGCTCCTGGGGTAAACACCAAGGTCTGGTGGCTCAGAGGTGCCTCCAGGTGCTCCCGGATGGATGGAGGATGGAAGGATGTGCAGAGGAAGGGCTGGAGAGGCAATAAAAGCAGCATCGTAGTGGAGAAATTACTAAATCCACAGAGCTCCTAATGCAGGAATAGGAAATAATCTGTTCATCTGCAGCACAACAGCAGCTCAGCTCCTTTTCATGACCTCAGATGCCTCCTCAGGCCAAGCAAGGTCCTCCAAGGACCAGCCTGAAGCTGAATTTTACAGCCTCGGCCCCAGGAAACACGGAAACAGCCACACGCCCAGGAGGAACGAACTCTTCCTCCAAGCAAATTGGTTTCAAAACTCCCTTCCCAAGGCAGCCCAAAATCCCTGATAGACCAGCAGCCAGGAGTGGAGGCAGCTGGAGGAGTACAGGACCAGGAAAGGCATGAATTAGAAATTTTTTATTTTATTATTATTTTAAAACGTCATTAATTCATACCCAAGATGAAGCTTTACAAGCTTTTACCCTTCTCAACATCCTAGGGCAGAGTGCCAGGGCTCACTGATTTT